CAGAGTGGACAGATATCCATAGAGCACATTGGGACAAACTCCATGATAGCTGATCCTCTTACTAAGGGATTGCCACCTAAGGTCTTTCATGAGCATACTGCTCATATGGGTGTGGTATTATTTGAGGATATTATGTTTTAGTGGAAGTTTGTATTTGTGGTGCTTTATGTTTGGTTGTATTGTCTGATCAGAATAAAGTATTCAGTTAAGACACTCTGTTACATTATGTTTGGTTTTGACCTCACTAAGGAGGACCAGTTGAAAATAGACATGTACTGATCACATTGCATGTAATTTTCATGCTGCGCATCCATGATTGATCTATGTCGTTTGATTGTATTGATATATGTGACCATTGATGGGTCGAGTCACGATAAATGTGACGAAGGCCGCTTTGATCCTATATTGATATAGTCAATGGACAAGATTGTTCGGAAATACCCTTTCAGTGATAGCATTTTTGAGCTCATAAGGTTATACACAATTTAAGGAATCATATGGTGCCCAAGTGGGAGATTGTTAGATTTAATCTAATAAATCTATTTGTGGGCACATATGATTAATCAATGTGTATTGCTATCTTTCAGGATAACCCACTAAAGTGATCAATTAAGTTGGGTTAATGTGTATTTAAATATAATCATGGGGTTATATGTGCAGATACCAGGTTGTAATTGTGATTTATTGAGGGGCTAAATTACAAAAGTACAACATCTATAAATAAGGGGTTATGGTCCCTAACCTAGGGTTACATTCTCTAATTCTCTTCACCCCCATCTAAGAGAGAAATTCGGCTAAGGAGAAACCCTAAGGTTAGAAGATCATCAAAAAAAACCCAAATCAAGATTTCATCTATGGATTCAGGTATAAGCTTCCGCTCTTTTGATTTTGTTAATCTCTTTGAATCAATCATGACTATATGGTTTTAGATCTTAAGTTTTGATTTAGATCTAACACACACCCCCAACCACACCTCCAACCACACCCCTCACTTGCTACAGTGCACTGGACCCAAATGAGATTTTAAAATAAAATCTCATGTGGATCCTAATACACTGTAGCAAGAGAGGTAGTGTGGTTGGAGGTTTGCCCCTATTATTTTCGAATATTTTTTCCCCTGGGGAAGCAAAAATACAACAGTTATACTATGCATTAATAAAAAAAAGGGATTAACTATGACAACATGTGATGAACTTTCATATATGTAACAAGGTTAAAGAAGGATCCAAGTGAAAATGTTAAAAAAATTATTTTTTTCATGAATACTTAAACCATTAATTTAATATATGCACTCATCGTGGAATCAACATACTCTAAAGTTTCTTTTTAAAAAAAATTGCATATAATCACAAACTACAAATTATAAAATCTTATAGAAGACTTGACAATTTGACAATACATTACAAGTTGTATACCATTAAATTTATTTCAAACAATAATAAAAGCAAACGAAATAAATTTAACTATCATATTAATAAAATAGTTGCATAAGTACATGAACATAGAAAATTTATTTCACATATCTATTTCATGATGTAAAACTTTATGAAATTGTAAGAACTCTATTTCACATTTCCATCACAAAATTGTAAACCGTATAAGAAAATAAACCTCATTTTAAATTTCTATTATTACATGCAAAATTAAATGCAAATTGAAAACCCATTTTCCTAATACACTTATATGCAAAGAAAACTACATGAAAAACATGATGTGTGTATACATATATATGGGGTTTTCCCCATATTGGTCTCCTAAGTAGCTAATTTAAAATTAGTCCCTCTACCTAATGCTACTTACTTTGAGCATGATTTTGATGGATTTTGATGTTGATTTTGATTGATTTGGTAATTACCCATCCTTAAGGTATACATATCGGTTATCTAAAATATATCGGATGACCAAAATTCATACCAGATTATGGTTATCAGGGAGATATCGAGGATTAGAAGTAAAAATTAAAGTGTCATATTCGATGGTGAGCATATATAATATAATATGTCCTCAAATGCATGTTAGGTCTCATGTTTATGAGCCTACCATCTAATCTGGTTTTGATGATTAACAAATAATTTTTAACATCATTTTTCGAGTGTTTGCATTTGATTGTTAGGTATTCTACACAAAAATTCTTCGTTGGAGGTTGGTTGGACTTGCGCCTTCACGATGATATCTAAAGGAGGTTGGAAGGAAATCAGAATGAAGCTTTGCATTTCAAGTCAAAAACCTATATCGCTTCATCCCCGCAACTAAGTCGAGCAAATTGAAGATCTTTTGCTTGGGTATAGTAGTTTTGGTTTTATACTTTATGTGTTTATGCTTTAAGCTCAAATGGTACACGTACACGTTATCTTGATTTATTGCATCATACATCCATTTGAGAATATATTATGCTTTTTGGATTATAGACTTAACGATATCATTTTACATCTTTTAAAAAGTCTATTAATCTATCTCAAATCTTATTTGGAGTGAGTTATCAAAATCGAGCATTTAACGACTCCGTATTTTGGTAATTTTTCAAAACAATAAGTTTTCACAAATGGAAAATGATACTTTGAAAATTTCTTTTCTAACATGTTCATTTTCATGTGTATAAACGTTTTCCAAAAGTTTACTAATTTTGGAGTTGATTTGTTATTTTAATTTGAATTTATAAAATCAACTCTACAAAAATCAAGTTTCTGAAATACATGTCCATCAGTCGACCAATTGGCTTCACCAGTCGACTGACCAGTGTGAGATTTCAGCATGATTTTTAGGCTTATCAGTAGACTGATTACATATTATCAGTCAACTGATTTTGTTCATCAGTCAACCGATGGTGTGCTGATTTTTCAGAACTCAGCCAACGGCTAGTTCATCAGTCGACTGATGAACTTGACCAGTCGATTGATGGTTACTTTTCCTATAACGACTAGTTTTTTTGGCTGCTTTGTTTTTAAGGCTATAAATACCCCTCAAGCTTTAGTTTTTCACAAGAGTTTCACAAGAGTTTTAAGAGTGTTTACACTAGTTTATTTTCAAGTTTTGGTGTGTTTCTTTATGTGAAGAAAGTTTCATAAAGAGAAGATCTCAACTTCGGTTTTGAGGCGTTCAACCCTAAATCTTTACCTACATCTCTTTGTTTTCTTTGAAGAAGTTTTCTAAACTCATTCTCTAACTTAATCTTCATTTTATTTCATATATATATACAAGCTAGATTTACTTGAGTTTAATTCTTATTTTACTCATTGTTTATACACACAACCACTTGAGCTTAAGTATTTTACATTTAGTACATTTTGGTTGTGAAAGTGTTACATTGAGAGTGAGCTTACAATTCGTTCTCATCCATAAGAGAGAACTAAACATTTATTTGTGCTTATTGTGAGAACGCGTTGTAATACACAAGAATAGTTAGAGGAGTGATTGGAAGAGACCGGGGTCAATTCCAAGAGGAATGACTTGGTTGTCAAAGCCTAGGGAGAGGTAATAATTCCAAGCACTTGAGTAAGGTGACACGGGTAGACCAACACTTAGAGGGGTATATTGTGGGATTGACAACGTGTGATTGTAAAAGTTTTCGATGAGCTTTGAAAACCGATTGTGTAGTTATTTGTGATTAGTGGAGAATCTCTTGAGGTGAGGAGCGGAGACGTAAGTCGAGGGTTGACCGAACTCTGTAATCATATTTCTTGTTTGTGTTTGTCATTAACGCACTTATCCTTGTGTATATTTTCATATCGCTTTATGTTTTATAATTTATATCACCTATTGTTACATATATCACTTGTATATATCATATTGTTAGGATATTCTTTGTAAAGTTTTTAATTTGGCATCAATATCGGATTAGATTAGCAATTACCGTATTCACCCCCTCCCCCCCCCTCCAGGGTACTTTCAATGCAATCTACGCATACTTAATGAAATGTAAACATACTAAAATGTCTTTGAGAGAGGACTCAAGGTTATCAAGTGATTGAATTTGGGGAGAGAGCGAAAGAGGTAGAGAGAAATTAGGCCTGACTCCTTTAAACGTGATAGAAAATAGTGAGTGAGGTCAGTGGTTTTGATTCTATTTAGCAGGTGTTAGATTTGGGTCTAAAAAAATAAGGATTTTGGGATCCAAAACCCATAGAATATATGGAATATTTTTTCTAGCAAAATTAGCCGACTTAGACCTTTACAATAAGTTTCTGATTAATCAGATTCTCACCCTAAATTGGTGAAAAATGATAACTTATTTAATTTTCTAGAAATTGTGTCAATGTGTTCAAAACCTTATACGTCAATGATATACCGTTATAACCAATAGATTTTTAAAACAGTGCTCATCCCTGATTAATCACTAGTTAACCGTAGTGAACAGTTGGACAGTAAATATAACAAAGTGTAATTTTAAAAACTTCAAATACTTGGGGTACTAATTATAAAATATGAATATTTGGGAGACTAATTTCAGATATGAAACATTTGGGAGATTAATTCCAAATAGGAAATCATTAGGGACTAATTTCAAATAAGTTGGCAATTAGGTATAAGTTTGAGGGACTATTATGAAAAAAAACTTGCAAGTATCATGTGTATAAAAAACCCAGGGGGCATGGCCACCCCCAACTCCCTGTCTCTGCCAATGGACATAGCTAATTAAATTTAAATAGTAACCAATAAAGGACATATTAGAAATATGTAATGTTCAACATGAGCGAAAATTCTGGTCAGCGAAAACCACGTTTCTCATATGCAAGCATGCATGCCAGTACAATTAAGTGCTTGTAGTTCCATCCCACCGCTAAGGAGTGAGCTTTATCTAAGACAATTTCCTATTTACAGAAAAATTATGCTTTTAAAACTCAAGATATATACTATAAATTTTTGTAACTTGTACTTATCTATCTATCTATCTATCTGCCCTTTAAAAGAGGGAGTTCTTGAAAAACTTTCCCTTCCCCAAAATAACCTTCAACTATTGTAAATATAACAATTTTATACATTTTTATCGTTTCACAGAGTTAATAAATCGGCAGCCTAAAAGCCTTCGTTCCTTTCATTTCCCCCTCTGTCGGTTAAGAATTCCCTCTAGCAGCAACCTTCAGTTACGCTTCTCCTCCGGCAACGCCATCCCACTTTCTTAAATCCTCATCATCACCGCACTCCCTCTGCCATCATCTCCTCACTTCTCAAATTTTGGGCATCTGTTACGATCACGAACAAACCCTAGCCGGCGACGAGTTCCATCCTTCATATTTCCAGTGCTTTGTCTGCCTTTAAGCTATTTCTACCTTCAAAAACTCGCTTTTTGCGGTTTTCATCTGTTGAATTTGGTAAAAAGAGAAGATTTTTAGCCTGATATTGCTGATTATTGCTTGAATTTGCAAGTTATCCATATCTTCTCTTTCGATGCCAAGAACTCCTCAATCTCCGATGATCCCATGTTTTTTTTCTCTTCTATCACTTGATTATTTGTTAGGGTTTAGTATTTGAGCTCTTTGATCATTGGATTTTTTTATTGGTGCAGGCTAGGTTTGCAATTAGCGGGGACCCGGCTAGGGTTTGCGGTCCATCCCAGTGGGGATGAATTTGTTTGTTCTACTGCTAATGGATGCAAGTGAGTATTGAATTTACTTTAAAAGATCGAATTTCGCATGTTAATTTATTGAAATTGAAGTGATTTTGGTTTTGGTACAACAATTTGGGGGTTTAGGGTTTCTGGGTGTAGGAAAGTAGATATCTCAGTAGACAGTGGAAGGTTGTGAAGTTTTCTGCATGCTGAAATTAAAGTGAGGTTTGGCATATGAAACTAAGCTGGCTTGTAAAAGTGGAAGTTTGGATCTGTATGGTAGAAATACAAGCTGAAGAATCCATGACTTCAAAGTAGATTGAAACTTTTATTGGCAAGTTAAATATTTTAGAAGTTCCTTCTGTTTTTCCCCTATAACTTTAAATTTAAAGTCACTGCATAGATATCAATATTCTTTTTAGCTGACACTAGCGGAGATGTTTCTCTTTACTGGTAAACTGAAGCTATACAAGTATTTCAGCATCCCCATTTTTTATGCTAACATTTGAATGTTGTATGTTTGTCAGGCTTGTGGATTGGTATAGAACCTTGCTCTGATGGTATACATAACAGTAGGATCAGCTGCGCATCTAATTTTGGAGTTTTTGGAGGAGTGGAGTACAGAAAACTTTGAGATATGCATTTTTTATTTATTCCTTGTGAATGTGAGCTGGATCTTTTGTATGCTTGTAGTTGCTCAAAATGGTATCTTGTTGGCGGTTAAAGGGTGTCTTCTTGTCGCAGGTTTTAGTCTACTGAAGTTTGCATTTCTTTTGCCTCTTCGCAGGAAATATCTCCAGCTGTTATTCCTCAAGCAACTAAGATTTTTGTTAATGGTTGCTGGGTTGGTGTTCACAGAAATCCTGAACTCCTGGTGAAGACTTTGAGACAATTAAGGAGACAGGTATGCATTCACATCTTTTCTATCCTCAGATCACCCCAGATGGGTTTTGTGAGCCTATGATGTGTACACATCACCGTTCAAATATTTCCATACATTTTCAATTTTCATTATTTCTCTGGAATACTGTCAATGAAATCTCTTTTACATTTTTGGTTCCATCTAAGAATGCATAATTTGGGGATTGGTCGTAATAAGGAAAAAAGACAGACCCACCAGAATCGCAAAAAAGAAAAATAAGGGTTATGTAACTCGTGCAAAATTCGAGTTTTGTGCAGGTGGAACCATTCCGTTTTGGTTCTTCTCCACATTATGAACGGTAGGAATTTGGGGATTTTCATGTGTCTAGATGATTATGCATTTTAATGTATATATTGTTGTATACATTATGCAAAACGAAATGCAATAGCAATTCATTTGTTAGAAGTATGAAACAAAATTATGCAGCATTGTCAAGCTATAGAAATGTATTGGGGCTACTGCTGTTATGTTGGTTATAGAGTTAAAAGAACACTTGACAAAGAAATGTTTCATATCTCAGAAAAAGGACAGGCCAAGCTGTGATCTTGCGATCGTCCCATTTTCAAGATCTTTGATATGCTAATTTTATAATTGCTTAGTGCATGATATGATTTGTTTAAGGTCACTGTTTAAATCTTGTTTGCTTTTGACTGAGGTTAGATTAGAATGTTCTCTGTTCTAATTGTGTCAAAGCTAAGTAAAATACTTGATTTGAAGCCAATAAAACTTGTCATTAAAGACATGGCGAAGGGCAATTTAGGTAAGTTGTCGTGAATAGGAGATGTCCGGAGTCCTTCGAACCACAAAAGATGCTATAAATTTTCAGCTGTAAAGGAATCTTGAATCTCCAGAAATTGATTAAAAATAAATGCCCTATAGTCCTCTTTTGTTAAAATCACAGAAAGTAACTAATCTTTGAGGTTCCATATGACAAAGATACAATGGAAGGGATTTTACAAATGATTAACAGACTGCTCACTACTAAAGAGATTCATTAGTTATGAGAAGTTGATATCAGAACTAAACGAGTTTAAATAATGAAAAAGTTGGTAAAACAATTAGTTATATTAATTGATACGAGTCAATTAATATAGCTTCTGGAGCAGTCAGGGGCAACCAGAGTCACAAGCTCTTGCTTAGAGAAGTGTATTATATTACATTATAGCTTCTGATAGAGAAGTGTCCTATATACATTACATTATAGATAAACTTAGGCTCGATGACTCTTGAACCTTGATACTATGATTATCCTTGTACATCCACCTTTTGTTGACCTTTTTAAAAAAAAAGGAAAAGTAGATTTTCTTGTGACCTTGAAAACGCAAGGTCACTTATTGGAGATCAGGAGAAATTTTTTCTTTCAGGTGCTCAACAAATATGTTCTTAGGGAGGCACTTGAAATATTTGGTGTTCTTCTTGAATTTACTCGTGTCTTTTATGGAAGTCTCTGTGCTTGTTTATGATTCGATCTTCAAAGAATCACTTTGCCCAACTCTACTTGCATATTAGTTAGCGTTTTATTTTAGTTTGCTTGCAGCCAACTCGAATCAGTCGTCACTTTCTCCTATGAAATAATGCTAGAATGTTTTTCAAAAGCGATCCTTTTTGGGGCCTTATTATGTGTGTGCACATCACCTCTTGACTACAAACTTATGTGTGTTAGAATTTGAGTATTCAAACAAACCAATTCATAATGTAACCAATTATTATACTTTCGAGTGTAGTGTTATTCGATGTTACCATGGTAAATGGAGGTGTCTAGAGTGTTTTGTTTGTTACAGTTCTCTGCATTATTTTGTAACATAACTAATTTTTCTTGGTCATAGGGGTATTTTTCATAACTGCTTCTAGAGCTGTGGTGATATGTAATATTGAAGCTCCCTTGGCTACTTCACGTTTTTTCATGGTGTCAATGGCTACTAACACCATGAATCTACTATTGCGTAACATATGAGTCTACTTGCTTTAGTAGGGAGGTATGACTGTGATTTGAGACTCTCATGGAGTTTGACTTAAGATAAAATTACTGTCTAGGATTTTATATGTCCTTATTGCAACGATTATGTTACCGGTTTCTTCTCTCACATGTATAGACGCAAAAAGAAAAAAAAAAGGGAAAAGGGAAAAGTCTTGTTTTATGAGGAGGAACCTCCAAGTTAAAAAAGAAAAAGAAAAAACATCATACATTAAAGCCTTTTGCTTATTATTTGTTTTTTTTCCATACATACTTCATCATCTGATAAAGTTTCATGTGGACTTGAAGAAGTCAGAAGAGCGCAATGCATCCTTTTTTATTATTGAGCAAACACCTTTATGTTATTTATCTAAATTATCTGCACATTTGGACATGGTGAAAATTACTTTGAAATAGATTTGGATATGCACAGATTCAGTTACAGCTGACCTTTTCATCCCAAAATTTAGTTTTTCAGTGAGATTTCTATGGGGATACTTCGAGTATTCAGTGAAATTGCACTGCACCTGTTATACAAGGTCCCAAGGAAACCTTTGTTTGCTTAGAATTGTAGACTTTAGGTCGTAATGCATGAGAGGAATAAAAAATGCTTTGACTTGTAAGATATAACAAGTACTCATATTTTCCTGTGCTTTTCAGGCGAATGATGCACAATTGAGCATAATGGTTGCTGAGCAGGTAAGAATGTCTATTTTCTGTAATAAAATGCTAATTTTTCCCCAACCATTGCTGAAATCTGCTACTGTTGAATAACCATAATGCTAAATATGATTTTAGCTTTACAAACTGTTTATATTCTCCTCTTTTGGTCGTTCTCCTTTTCCCTTTGTGAGGATTGCACACGTAGCTTTACAAACTGTTTATATTCTCCTCTTTTGGTCGTTCTCCTTTTCCCTTTGTGAGGATTGCACACGTTTTCCAATCTGTTTAAATTTGTTGCCTCTTTTGGTCGTTCTCCTTTTCCCTTTGTGAGGATTGCACACGTTTTCCAATCTGTTTAAATTTGTTTAAATAATTTTTTAACATTTTTCGCAGGTTGAGCAAGCACATGCTGCTATAGTTGCTCTCACTTCATCTCAGAAGACAGTAAACCAGATCCGGGAAAACTTTGTGCCCATTGAAAGGTATAGCATTGGTCCGGGTCTAGGCATTGTTTGATATATTTTATGTGTACTAATTGCGGATTTCCTTCCATATCTTATGTGAACGGGTCTAGGCATTGTTTGATATATTTTATGTGTACTAATTGCGGATTTCCTTCCATATCTTATGTGAACTTCTTTTTTAATATTGCTATACATTTTAAATCGCCGGTATGTGACATGTCAGATTGTGGCAAGAGTGTCAAACGCTGATAGAAAAAATCACAACAGGATAAAACTTCTTAGCAATGCGAGGAACAACTTGAACACAACACTAAACATTGGTTAGACTATCTTGATATCCTCACAATATTCTGGTTTTCAAATTGTGCAAACCAAAACCGAAATTTTCTAATTTCATTTATTTTGTTGTTCCTTCTGCTTCTGGTGTCCTTTTCATTTACCTATTAATTCGTAATCAGTAATTTTAACCAAAAACAACTAGGGTCTCCTCGTAACCTATTATTAGATATGCTTCTACTATTCATAATAGACAATCTGTGCATCTGAGGACTAATATTCAATCTTAAATGTGATGATAGATCAAAGTGAGAAATAAAGTGACAACGTCCATAGCTTGGGAAGGTATTTTTTAGTGTTACATCTGTGACTAAAGGACCTTATGTGGCATAATAGAAGATTATTTCAGGGTGATATTTCTGCCTTGGATGATAGCAAAAAACTATATGGTATTTCAACTCGAAGAGGACAGTTAAACCCAAAATGAATTGCAGGAAGTATTTGAGATAGGTAACAAAATCAAGATCTAGATTATTATAATGGTTTTGGCGATGGAGGTGCAGAGAAAATGCTTTCAGATGGTAGAGATGCATGACTGTCCATTCAAGTATCGTTAATCGACGTTAAGTATCAATCTACATTGCGGCCAATATCCATTTATGTTGGCTGCTACCAATCAGTAAAGGATACACCACCATTCAGATGGATCCGACTTGTTTAGCTCAACTTCCTGTTTTCCAATAATGTTTTTCCTTTTAAAAAAGTATTTTACACTCACATAATAGTAGGCCAGTAGTAGTTGGCAGATGTGAAAGAAATTGAGCTCACATATGTAGTAAGTTTGGGGTATTGAGGTTCAATTGGTATAAACTTTGTGATACTAAAGTGTAAATAACCCTTTGTTTTATTTTAGTTTCCTTCTATCAAGGCTCAAGAACAATAATTATATCCTATAAGATTGTTTTTAATGATGTTAATGCTTTTTTTCTTGCGAGCAAAACTTAAGGGTCCACGCTCTATTCAACCTGACAAAGGCAAATTAAATATTTTGTCGATAAAAATCCTTTACTAAATCATATTTTTGGACTAGCATTTTTAATTGGATACCTTATAGCTAATTTCAAAAATTTTAGGAAAAAAATTTAAGATGTAAAAACTAATTAATACCTTGGGCTCAACTTAAAAATAATAATAAATTTAACCTTTTTTATCTTCAACAAATCATCATAGGCTATATCCCTTTTGCTCATCTGTTAGAACGATAAGTAGATATAGTAAATTAATATATTTTGTCTAGAGAGCTTTATTTGTTTTTTCCCTTTCCTTTTTTAGCCGTTTAATAATAATTGTAATTGACTCAATTGTTCTATACTAAAGATTCTGAAATTTCTAAATTCCTATCAAAGAGTAAACTTTTACTAAATGGACATTGTCAAATATCTTGCAATATCTTAATTCATGTAAGCAAATATGAGCTCAAATGCCAATTGGAATTACTATGAGGAAAGTATTAATTTCATGATACATATAAAAATTGATAATGCAATTGCTAAAGGAAATTATTAAGCTTACAGGCTACAATTCATATGATAACTTAGGGAATGATAGTTAGCCAAAACGCATTTGCATCTATTAGCTTAATTATTCTATTGATAGACTCTATAGCGTAACAGATATTATAGATGTTAATGTAAGAAATGTTGGTAGACTTTATAATGTAAGAAATATTATACATGTAATTGGTATTTGTTTAAAAAGAATGTTCCTTATAGGAGAGATTGATTTCTATATTGCTTTGTTCAATATCAATGATTCGATCAATACTTAGGTGATCTGCTCTAATTCCCTATGCATCTCTGTTTCATGTTCATTTAACTGTGTTCAGAAATTTATATGTCTTGATATGTCCTTCTTATTGTTTTAGCCTTTCCGACCATAAAACCATGGCGAAACAATAAGAGGCGTGGGGAGCTGCTAGGAGACCAACAACTTGATGCTATTTAGTTGAGTTCAGGTCTTTGGTGAATGAAGATGTTTTTTAAGCTCTATACTTTGTTGCTAAATGTTGCTAATGTTCCATTTTTTGGATGTATGTTAGGAGTTGTTTTGATTTTTGATGTATACAGCTAGGGGGTTTTATATTTTTTTGGTGTGATGTAATGAGAGATACTTCATTTTGTTCTTTGGTTGGGGATTTTGATGATTATATGTAAGTGGATTGTAATCACCCAATTTTTTTTAAAAAATGTATTACTCGGTTGAGGTCTTCTTTCAAGACTCAATCCTTTCTCTTAAGAAGACATGGTGGAAGCTATTCATACATGAGAAGAGATTGACTTCATAGTGATTAATCGATGCTAGACAATTGTCTATGTTGAATGTAAGGTGGTCCGTACTTGACCTGTATTTTCTTGAAAACATATTGCGCTTGTTGAACAAAATCTATTGCATTCTATCTTTCCGTACTTGACCTGTATTTTCTTGAAAACATATTGCGCTTGTTGAACAAAATCTATTGCATTCTATCTTGAATGCTGCTCTTATTATTTTGTTATAGGACAAAAGATTTAATATTCAATCCAAGTGTCTCATTCATTCAATGAGGTTATTAGTGTGATTATTAGTTCTTATATCCAAATGTCTAAAAGATTTTGACTTATTCGGTTTGACGTCGCATAAGGTCCAGTGACTTTATTTTATGTCTATATGTTTGACCCATTGCTTACATTTATTAATTTAATAACAAATCTTTCCTAAATAAATTTAAAAATTTATAATAAATGATAAAAGTTTTACCACGTGCAATTCACGTGCATCTCAACTAGTATAGACAAAAGAGAAAGATCTAATTACAAATCTCACCGTTCTAGAAAAACGCGATAGGGTAAGTAGATACCGGTCTTATAAAAGAAATAAGCAACTTTAAATATACTGGTGTAACTGAATGTAAAATTAATAGACACCAATTACAGTCTGAAAGAAAAGCAAGATGAATATTCCTATAATTTTAGATTGAAACAAACAAAAGAATATGTTTCCTATTCTCAACTTTTTCCCCAGAAGTAACTTTTCCTTCTTTTTCAAGCATTTTTCTAAAAACATTGCCCAACCAAGTAGCCCCTTGTTCGCTCGGAAAATCGTTGTTTTCTTCATCATTGATTCCATTGCAAATTCTTGTAATAGTTTATCGATTACAAAGATTGCCTTTGGCGGGCTCTCTTCGAGAGAGCTACCACGCCCTCTGTGGAAGAAGAGTTGGCCAGTGCAGATCTGACCTGGTTGGAAACTGGAGGAACCTCACCCGATGCGGCTTTGGCATCAAACGGGGCGAGATCTTCGTTGTTGGCTTCGACTTCTTCATACCAACGAACCTTTCTCCTGGAGGAGAACTTGGACTTGCTGGACTTGCGGGGGGAGGTTGATCCAGACGAGGACAAGTATTCCTCGAACTTAGTTTGGTCGAACTCGTACTCAACCTCCTCCACGACCGGAATTGAAATCCGCGGCTGCGACGCATCGATCTCGTCAGCGAGATCGTCGGCTCCCACTGTGGTCGCCAGATTGTTCGCGGTGAAAATCGTTATTCCATTGCAAATTCTTGTAATAGTTTATCGATTACAAAGATCCGGTCTTTTTTTAGATCCGGTTACAACGAAAATCAAATAACACAAGAAATAAAGAAAATTACAACTTTCTTCTTATTTGTCGAACGAATCGCAAGATCCTGTTTTGCGGTCTCTTGCTTTGTGTGGGTTCTTTGCCTGCGCCGGGGTTTATCCGTGGACCACCGCGAGATCTAGATCCGATCAGATCTAAGCAGTACGACGGGTATTATTCCACAAAGGAAATAATAGCCGGGGAGGATTGATTCACCAAGGAAACAATCGTCCAAGTCTCGGGATCTAAGACCAAGCTTAGATCCGGAGTACGCCTGCGTAGATCTGAGATCCGGTCCTCTCGAACACCTGCCTTTTTTGGCGTTGACGATCGCTGAGCACCAGATCTGGAAGAGTGAGTCCCCGAAGTCCCAAAGCTCCAATCTTTTTTAAGTTTCGAGTCTTGAATCCGGCAGAGCTTCGCCTCCAAAATTTCCAACCTTTGAACAAATGAACCAAGTGGCCTATTTATAGGCACCCCTTACTGTGCCCGCGCACGGAACAGTGTCGGCCACCTCTGGGTGGCCGGCACTGGGCCGAGCCACCTATGGGTGGCTCGGCTTTGGCCGAGCCCCCTTAGGCATGGTTGTTTCGTCGTTTTCCGCTCTTGGTTCTATCCGTGATTCGGTTCTGTGGTTGATTTATCCAGACTTGATTCGTTGATCTGATTTGGCACTAGATCCACTTCTGAGTTCGAGTCCGAAACTGATCTTGATTCGATCGTGATTCGTCCGAGTCTGCCCTTGGTTGGATGACTCGTTGACTCTTCAACACTTGGCTTGATTCCGAACGCGAATGGGTGTATTCCATTGCTTGCGTGTGATTAGTCAATCTCGTTGCCTCGTTGGTTTGTCGGTTTGTGCCGAGCTGAGCTAAGGGATCTATAAGCAATTTTATATGCCTACACCCCTAAGTGCCTCTCTTTACGTTAGCGAACTTCAAAATAGAAAATATTACTTGTTGCTGACTTAACTGTAGATACTAAAGAAGGGGGATCTCAAAAGTAGAAAGGTATAGAGAAGCCATGGACCGTTAACTGGTTTGGATTTATAAAAATAAGAACGAAATATGCAGAATATAATAACTTCAACAAAACTGTGAGGATGAGTGGGCATATAATACAAATTGATGGAAGAGAACTACCGCAGAGTGAGCATTACTGCTATTTGGAATTAATTATTATTGATTCTATTGGTACATATGACTCAAAACCCTCATAAGAATTTCTTAGCTTACGAGTTCTCATATTAATAGAATTAGTTAGCGGCTTAATTATACACTTAAATTCTATTCGGCATGCAATTATTAGAGTCTGAATAAATTTTCGACGATAGTCCAATTCGTCTCCAGCTCTAGATCAGAGAAGCCCACGTCGTCTCAAGGGCGCATCTGTTCAAATCCGTATTGGACTCTGGATCAAAAAGCATCTATACGTAATGGACAGATGAGATTAATCCATGGTTAAAAATAGCAAATTGAAGGCTTTTAATATACTGTAAAAACCATTTACAAATAGCCCGTCATCTATGTATTTCTCTTTTTTGGGTCTTTTTTGGCATTTTTGAGAGTTCATTGTACTCATTTCTCTTTTGATAGTGAAATTTCTTTAATGTCTCTACCATGAACGTAGCCAAACTAGATGAGCCAAGAAAAAAAAAATTCCAATTTTATAATTGCTTGTCATTAGTTGTTGTGCTTGTTCTTTGCAATTATTTCTACTAGATTGTGCATTTGTTCTAGAGGATCCCATATTGAGATGCTATAATGAAACATCACTTCTGCAACTTTAAGTGAATATAGAATACCCATGACATTAAGGGGAAAGCGGCAATGAAACAAATACTTTATAGAATATAAGTGTTTTTGTCACGCCCCGGGCCCATAACCTAGTAGGCAGGATATAAGTCATGGGACTCACTAAGTGCAACCCTATATGAATAAAATAGCACAGTTCTTTGGACAACTATATGAGATTAAAATGAGCCTCTTTGAAAGTCATTGAGATGAAGAAAAAAAAGTTATTATGGAGATTAGAAGAGCATCAACAATGATCAAAGATCGATTGTTATGTGGCAATGCCAACACAAGATAAAGATCAGATGTTGTGGTGTGAGCTTTGAATAGTTGAGGAACATGTGGAGGATAATAGCGCAATTAATACTCTTATAAATCCTTTTCTTAAACAATTAAATGAAGAGGGGGTATTTATAGTATTCATTTTGAACTATGCACCGAGCTCGTCTGTGCACAGTTGGTGTGTGTTATTGCGGCAACCATACTGCTAACATATCAGATTCATCACTTCGCCAGATTTTAATTAAATGAATTGTAAATGTGAAATCCCATGGGTCCTATTAATCATTATGGGTGCCATCTCTTCAGTCACATTGCATTAAATGTGTTGTGAACTCCCATTCCCGCACAGCCGACAATAAGTTATCATTATTATTACCTCCGTCCAATCAATCCACCATACCCCAACTACCAAACTTAGCGTGAGTAATGTGAGCGTTAAGCTAGGTTTGGTGGCTCATTACCTCGGGACCATGCACCTCGACTTATGTGCACCACAGACTTCCTGAAGTTAATGCATTGAATGAGCATCAGTGTGATTAGACCTATGATGGAGCACTTAAATTGTATCACCAGCGCCTCATCTTCTGTGCAGCTTGTAGAGTCTGAGTTCCACAAGATTTTTCCATGCTTATCTTTATATTGTTCACCAGTATATACGCCAAATTAGGTCGACACAAAATTTTATGTTTGTGTCGAATTGTGTTCCATCTAGTTATGTCTTTCTATACTTAGAGTTTTGGATTCTTCTTTCCTTCGGTCTAGTTCTTTAGCTTTGCTGGGTTTGTGTAGTCTGCCCCAAATATCTCTAAGGCCTCATCTTCACATATAAATCATCTTTGTTAAATGGTCTTTACTTTTTGACATTCCACAAGATCTACTTCAGAGTTTCTGAAATCCCTACATCTAGATCTCTAGAAACTTTGAATTTCTTTAGATGGGTGATTGCCAACTTTTTTTCATTGATAGGTTTGATGGCATTTGGTGGCCATGATGTTATATATAGACAACACTTGATGGGGGTGTTACTATCGGAGGGGTACTGAGGAATCAGACAGTTGAATTCTCCCTGAAAGACATGTCCATTGAACAATTCAAATATAGTCTGACACAAATATGTTTTGTTGTATGTGATAGAATGAATCATCTTTAGAGGTGTTCTTATAAGCTTGATCAATGATGTTCTTGGAAGAGGTGCTGATGTGCTGTGAAAATAGTGTCAAGATACAAGTGCAGAACTAAGTTATAGTATAGTACAATGTCAATCCCATGAGGAAGGCCTGTGTAGAAAAATCCTGAAAATGGTCCTACAATGGTGTTTGGACAAAGAGGATTGAAAGTGTAGAGATATAGAGAGTGCATGATTATTTACAAATAAAAGAAAATTAGAACATGAGGGGAGAAATAGAGTGAACAAATAAAAGAAAATAAAGAATAAACAAGGAGGAGAAATAACAAAAATAGAAAAGAATAAAATCAAAGAGGAAAAACAATCAAAAAGAGGAAAAAATCAAAATAAGTATAAGATAGGGGAAATCAAGCAGAA